CACACACACACACACACACACACACACACACACACACACACACACACGTATATAGCCATATACAACAAGCCTATAGCCAACATCACATTAAATGGAGAGAAATTTAATCAATCCCACTGAAATCAGGGGCAAGGTAAGGCTGCCCACTGTCTTTGTATCTCTTCAACATACATTTTGAAGTACTTGATAGAGGAATAAGACAAACAAAGGAGATCAAGGGATAAAAATTCAAAAGGAAGAAGTTAAAATACCACTATTTGCAGATGATATGATAGTATATATAAGTGACCCAAAAAATTCTACCAGACACCTCGTTCAGCTTTAGCAAAGTGGCTGGGTAAAAATTAACTCAAAAAAATCTGAAGCCCTCCTGTGTACAAAAGACAATTTGTAATTTGAGTAATTTAAAGTATTTTGGCATAACTCTAACCAAGCAAGTAGAAGACATATATATATATATATATATATATATATATATATATATATATATATTTCAAGTCTCTGAAGAAAGAAATCAAAAAAGATATCAGAAGATCAGAAGATGGAAAGATCTCCCATGCTCATGGATCAATAAGATTAACATAGTGAAAATGGCTATCTTGCCAAAATCACTCTACAGATTCAATGCAATTCTCATCAAAACACCAACATATGTTTTTACATTGAAAGAACAATTATCAATTTCATAAGAAAAAAAAAACAGAATAGCTAAAAGAATTCTGTACGATAAAAAATTTTCTTGAGGTGTCTCCAGATCAGATATCAAGCTGTACTATAGAGCAATAGTAATAAAAATGCCATGGTACTGGCATAGAAACAGAATGGCAGACCAAGGGAATTAAATAGAAGACCAAGATATAAACCCATATCTATGGAAACTTAATTTTTTTACAAAGAAACCAAAACCAAATCCATACAATGGAAAAAAAGACAGGATCTTCAACAAATGGTGCTGGTCTAATTAGATGTCTACTTGTAAAAAAAAAATGAAGATAGACCCATATTTATCAACCGTTACAAAGTTAAAGTCCTAGTGGATCAAAGACTTCAACATAAAACCAGACACACTAAATCTGTTAGAAGAAAAAGGGGAAAGATCCTTGATCTCATTGGTACAGGAGACAATTTCCTGAACAGAACACCAACAACACAGGCTCTAAGATAACAATTAATAAATGTTACCTCACAAAACTGAAAAGTTTCTGTAATGCAAAGGGCACTGTCATCAGAAGAAAATTAAAGCATGCAGACAGGGAAAAGATCTTCACCAACCCTACATCTGACAGAGGACTAATATCCAGAATATATAAAGAACTCAAGAAGTTAAAAAGAAACAAACCAAGTAATCCAGTTAAAAATGGGGTACAGAGCTAAACAGAACTCGCAACAGTGGAATTTCTAATGGCAGAGAAACACTTAAAGTAAAGCTCATCCTGAGTGCAGTATCTGAGGGGCAGAAAGACACACGGTATAAACTCACTTATAGAGACCTATAAGATAGGATAAACATACAAAAATACAAGCACCTAAAGAAGATAAACAAGAAAGAGGACCCAGAGTAAGATGATCAATCCTCACTTAAAGACAAATGGGATGGACAGGGGAAGTAGGAGAAAACAAGTAACAGGCCAGGCCAGAAACCTACCGTGGAGGACCTCTGAAATATTCTACCTAGCAGTGTATCAAAGCTGGGACTCATAACCAAACCTTGCGCAGAGTGCAGAGAATCATTTGAAAGAAGGGGGAGTTAGTATGACCTGGAAAGTACAGGAGCTCCACAAGGACAAAATATATCAGGGCACGGGGGCCCTCTATGAGACTGTTTCTCCAACCAAGGACCATGTATGGATACAATCTAGAACCCCTGCTCGGATAAAGCCCATGGAAGCTCAGTATCCAAGTGGGTTCCCTAGAAAGGGAAACAGGGACTATTTCTGACATGAACTCAAAGATCAGCTCTTTAACTACCCCCTCCCTCCCTGCCCCGAGGGAGGAAAAACCTTGCTAGGCCACAGAGGAGGACATGGCAGCCAGTCCTGAAGATACCTGATAAACTGTGATCAGATGGAAGGGGAGGAGGACCTCCCCTATTAGTGGACTTTTAAAGGAGCAGGGAGGAGATGAGGAAGGGAGGGTGGGACTGGGAGGGAATGAGGGAGGGAGCTATGGCTGGGATACAAAGTAAATAACCTGTGATTAATATAAAAATTAAAAATTAAGAAAATAAAGGAGCTAATACACTGATTAAAAAAGATGCTTGATGTCCTTGGTCTTTCGGGCAATGCAAATCAAAATGACCCTGAGATTTCACCTTACACCCATCAGAAGAGCTAAGATAAAAACTCAAAGGATGAAGCATGTTGGAGAGGTTTTGTAGAAAGGGGAACCATCCTCCATTGCTGGAGGGAATGTAGCCTTGTGCAATCACTTTGGAAATCAATCTGGTGCTTCCTCAGAAAGTTAGGTATAGTGGACCTCAATATCCAGCTATACTACTCCTAGGCATATACCCAAAAGTTGCCCCACCATTCAATAAGGACATCTGCTCAACCATGTTCATAACAGTTCTATTCATAATAGCCAGAATCTGTAAACAAGCTAGATGTCCCTCAACTAAGGAATGGATACAGAAAGCATGGTACATTTACACAATGGAAAACTACTCAGCAATTAAAAACAAGGCAATCATGAAATATTCAGGCAAATGGTGAGAACTAGAAAAGATCATCCATGAGTGAGGTAACTCAGAAGCAGAAAGACACAAATGATATATACTTACTTATAAGTAGATATCAGCCATATAATATAGGCTAAACATACTAAAATCTATAGCCTTAAAGAAGCTAAACAAGAAGGAGAATGCTAGGGAAGATGCTTAAGCCTCATTCATAAGGGCAAACAGGATAGATCTTGGAAGTAGGAGAAGAAAAGGAACAGGACAGGAGCCTTCCACAGGGGACCTCTGAAAGACTCTACTCATCAGGGTATCGAAGGAGATACTGAGACTCATAGCCAAACTTTGGGTAGGGTGACTGAATCCTATGGAAGAGGAGGAAGATCAAAAGAGGTAGACAGGTCAAGATCTCCACAAGGAGAACAACAGAGCCAAAATACCTTGGTCCATATTGGCATGCAGAGATCGATACTCCAACTAAGGACCATGCATGGAGAAAACATAGACCCCCTGTTCAAAAGAAGCCCATTGGTTGCTCAGTTTCCACGTGGGTTTCCTAGTAAAGGGTACAGGGACTGTCTTTGACGTAAACTCAGTGGTTGGCTCTTTGATCATCTCCTCCTGGTGGGTACAGCCTTGCCAGGTCACAGAGGAAGATGATGCAGCCAATCTTGATGAGGCCTGACAAGCTAGTTTATATATTTAAACTTAGATTTTAAAAACAGTTTATTTAAATGATCTAATTATATAAATATGCACTTTAGGAACCCACAGCTTTTGAACACTATGGTACAGACCAAGTTACTATAGGAACCTTATGTGTGAATTTTTCAATTTCAAAAGAAATGAACTGTTTGTAAATATCAGTGTAAGTTTCGTAGTTCTTTTCACTTTATCCAGTTATATTTGTGAACTAGTTGGTATCTGTACAATGAATTTCAATTTTTTCTATAGAGATAGCAAAATGAAACAATGTTTATATCAAAATACACAGAAAACTTGAGTATTGTACATATTCAAATACTACGCTGGGGATACTAAAATATGTAATAGCAATGGTTACAGAATAGCAGAGTCACAATCCCTGACAAAAATATTGTTTATACTAAAGTACTTTTACAGATAAATGTCAAACACAACAAAGTAAAATTATAATCTAATGGTAAAATATAGCATTTCGTGTTCAATAATCCCTGACAGTGGTAATGATATACAAAACCAAATTTTATATATATATATTTTTTTAAATAAAAGATGAGAATAATATAATTCAGGGAATTTTTTAAAATGTGCAAAAGAGTAACAAAGTTTAGAGAAAATAATTGGAGGGTTTTTTCCTGTTAACATTCCCTCTTCTTGATGACTCTTTTATTATATTGACAAAACAGTAATCAGCACAGGTGCGTAAACTTTTTAAATTTACATAGATTACAGATAATGGTGGAGGACTGCAGGATATTAAAATATAATCTGAATCATGTACTTAGGTTGAAATGACATGAAGAAATGGAATAGAGAAACAAGAAAGAGACAGGTTATATGCAGATGATTAGTTTTTGAAGCGAAGTTAAAGGTAATAGAGTTTGTTAATTGTATTATTGTTTCAACTTCTTTTTCTTTTATTCAACTTGTCATATCTGAATATAACTTTAATAAATAGTTGGAAGACAGATTTTTACATCATATTTACCCTCACAATAAATTTTTGTTAACGTAAGATAGTAATGGATAATAAACATTATTTGTAAAGACTTATATGAATATTCACACTATGCAATTATAGCCAAGAATAATGTTGCACATTTTATGAATAATTACAAGCAGTACATTTAGCATAATTTAGCATATTTACTTCCAATACTACATTAAAATAAGATTGTTTAATAGTAGAGTACAAATCATGAGTAGGTATAAAAAGAATGGAGTATCACTTTTTAACCTTCAAAATTTTAAATTGTTATTAATGATTCTAATGATAATATTATATTAGAATCCTAAAATTAGAATTAGAAAATGCAGTTGTGGTGATCAGTTTCATGGATTTCTGAATGTACTTACTGGTATTTTCTTGTTAATTTCCATGACAAAATTTTCAGGATTGCTGTTTTTTATTTTCAACTCTAAAGTTTCATGCGTAGGATTATGTAAAGGAAGGTTCTGAATGATCTCCCTGGGAGGAAAATCAAACGTAGTATATTTGCTGGTGTTTATAAACTTACCAATGATAATTTCATTATTAACCAAATTGTAACCCCCTTCAATCCTATGCTATTGCATCATATTTGCATATGATTGTGAGAAACAATGTCTGGTCTGATTGTATAACAAATACATGTCAATCCAATTTAAAAGTAATGCCCCTCCATGAAGAGACAATAAAATGCTGCCCAACCACCATCTATAGAAATCAATCAAATGATCTTACCAATGTTATAGAACAGTAAAATATATATGTTAAATTTCTTGTACCCTCAGAACCTCCAGTCTTTTTCTATGCTAGTACTGTGCAGTTTTTATTACTGTTGCTCTGTAGTTCAACTTGAGATCAAGGAAGGTGACACCTCCAGAAGTTCTTTTATTGGAAAGGATAGTTTTAGTTATTCTGGGATTCTTGTTTTTCCATATGAAGTTGAGAATTGTTCTTTCAAGTTCTGTAAGAATTATGTTGGTATTTTTATGGGAATTGCATTGAAATTCCATGTTTACTATGCTAATCTTAGTGATCCGTGAACATGTGAGGTATTTCCATATTCTGATATCATCTTCAGCATTGTATTCATCCAGTAGAGGTTCTTGTCATACAGGTCTTTGATTTGTTTGCGTAGAGTTACACCAAGGTATTTTACATAATTTGTGGCTATTGTGAAGTTTTCCTAAATTCTTTCCCAGTCCATTTGTCTTTTGCATACAGGAAGGTTATTGCTTTTTTGGAGTTAATTTTGTACCAGTCACATTGATGAAGGTATTTATCAGCTGTAGAGGTTCTCTGGTAGAATTTTTGGGGTCAATCATGTATACTATCGTATCATCTGTAAATAGTGATACTTTGACTTCTTCCTTTCTAATTTGTATTTCCTTGATCTAATTTAATTTTCTTATTGCTCTGGCTAGAACTTCGAGTACTATATTGAAAAGATATACAGAGAGAGGGCAGCCTTGTCTTGTACCTGATTTAGTGGAATTTAAGTTTCTCTCCATTAAATTTGACTTTAGCTATATGCTTGTTGGATATTGCTTTTAGGTATGTTCCTTGTATCCCTTATTTTTAAAAACTTTTAACTTGAAAGGCTGCTGCATGATGTCATTTTTTGGCATCTAATGAGATGATCATTTGGTGTGTGTGCATGCATGTATGTGTGTGTTTGTGTTTCTTTCAGTTTGTTTATATGGTATGTGGGATGGATTTTCATATATTGAACCACCCCTGCATGCTTGGGATGAATCCTACTTGATCATGGTGGATGATACTTTGATTTGTTCTTGGATTAGCTTTCTGAGTACTTTGTTGAGTATTTTTTCATGAATGTTCCTAAGGGAAATAGGTTTGAAATTGTCTGTCTTTGTTGGGTCTTGGTGTGGTTTTGGTATCAGGGTGACTGTGGCCTCGTAGAATTAGTTTGGCAATGTTCCTTTTGTTTCTATTTTGTGGAAAACTTTAAAGAGTATTAGGTCTTCTTTGAAAGTCTGGTAGAATTCTGCACGAAAACCATCAGGCTCTGGGCTTTTGTTTTTGTTTTTGTTTTTGTTTTGTTGGATGGGTGAATTTAACGACTGTTTTCATTTCCTTAGAGGTTGTAGCACCATTTAATTTGTTTACCTGATCTTGATTTATCTTTGGTAAGTGGTGTCTATCATGAAAATTTTCCATTTCATTGAGATTGTCCAATTTTATGGAGTATAGGGTTTTGAAGTAAGGTCTAATGATTCCTTGGATTTCCTCAATGTCTCTTGTTACGTCCCCTTTTTCATTTCTGATTTATTGATTTGGATATTTTCTTACTGCCTTTTAGTTAGTTTGGCTAAGCGTTTGTAAATTTTGTTTATTTTCTCAAAGCTGACTAGCTTTTGGTTTAGTTGATTCATTGTATTGTCTTTTTTGTTTTTATTTTGTTGAATTCAGCCCTGAGTTTTATTATTTCTTGCCTTGTCCTCATCTTTAGTGCGTTTGTTTGTTTTTCCTAGAGCTTTCAGGTGAGCTGTTGAGTTGTTATTATGAGATCTCTCCAGTTTCTTTACGAAGGCACTTATTGCTTTGAACTTATCTCTTCAAGCTGCTTTCATTGTGTCCAATAAGATTGGGTATGCCGTGCCTTCACTTTCATTAATTTTTAGGAAGTCTTTACTTCCTTTATTTCTTCCCTGACCCAATGGGCATCCAGTATGGTGTTGTTCAGTTTCCATGAGTATGTTGGCTTTTACATGGAAGTCAGGCATAAGAGCTAACATTTGTATAATTTCAGTTTATGTACTATCTGAAATAGAGAAAGAAACCAAAATTGTGTTTGCCAAGTCAAGGCAGGGAGATAAAATTACAGTGAGAGTTGAATGGAATTGTTGTTTCCTTTAGGGTAGCAAAAGTTGTTTGGAAGGTGGTGGGGCTGTAGATGTACAACAGTGTGACATGATACTGTGCTCTATCCTTTAAAATGGCTAATTTTCTGTTATGTGGACTTTTCCCTCAAAAATTAGAAACAGACAAATAGAATAGGAAATGAAAAGAAATGATAGGAGAGGAACATGAGTAGTAAATAAAATATTAAATTTTCACACAACATGAGTAGATGTGTTCTTGATTCTCCCTTTTCAAGCATTTGTGTGTGTGTGTATGTTTGTGCATGTGTGTACATATACATACTTCATATTAAGTTGCAAGTAAAGAACCAACCATGAAAAGTTTTCTTCTGATCTTCATTCATGGTCACTGAATGAATGCTCCTGCACTCATACATACATATTATGCACACACATGCTCATACAATGATAATAAAGTATTAAAAGGAGAAAATGTCTAGTACAATGTAAAACATGCTTATTATACAGAGGGAAAACCTGTCATATTAATCATATTTAATATATATTTTATATAGCTTTCCTTTATTAACCTTAAAATTTTTATTACATTAAACTTTTATTACATTATATGTATGCACAGCATGTATGTCAAGGTAAGGAGAAAAATGTCAGGAGTTAGTGCTCTTTTTCACCATGTTAGTCTTAGGGAAAGTCCTCAGATCATCAGTCTTCAGAACAAGAGCCTTTATCTAATGAGTCATTTTTCCATCTCATATTTATTTACATTTCAAAATATGAGAAATATTTAGAAGTTGAACATGACTTTTTAAATAATATAGTGAAGTAGAATGTGTTACCATGTCACTGAATTTTCTTAAAGGAGTTTTTTTAAACCAGTATTTAATCTGATCTAATATTCCCACTTCTTCATGATTTCTATTCATCTTTGTTTGAAAATGTTCAGCTGCTTGACATTCTGATCTTAGAGCCCCTTCAAGTCTACAGAGATTAGAGGACCCTAGGAATTTTATTCTTCAGCCTAAAAAGGCAAATGGAGACGAAACTGAATGTTCAAAATCCCAAGCTTGGTTAGCAATTCTTAATTTTGTGTTCCAAAACAGCATCCAGAAAGGTTTGTAAGTGTTATCAAAATAAAGAGATGATTAACAGAATCTTAGGGGTTGACTCAGTCAGTAAAGTACTGGTCTTAAAAGCATGAGGACTTTACTCTGCTTTCCATTTTATTTTGTGGGCCTTAATATGGGAGGTTGCTCTATACTGCAACATTACCTTTCCCTCATTTACAAGCATCTTTTGTAGGCAAATCTTAACACGGTCGTGATCTGTTTACCTGACAGATTTTCCCATTAGAAATATACTTATTTTGCATGTTTAAAGGTTAAATGTCTTATAACAGTTTATTTTTTCTTTTTGCATAATAAAATTATTAAACAGAACTTACTTTCCAAGATCACATTGCATTTCTGGTAATATCTTTGTTCTTGGAAGTTCAGTTGTTAATTTCAGTAAATACCAGAACTCTTCACCTGATTCAGGCTGAAAAATAAAGCTGGTTGTAAAGAAATTTGAAAATCTTGTTAGTTGTTTTAGATTGTATAATAAACATGGAATAGCAAAATATAGAATGTTAGGAATATCTGTTTTAAACACAGTATCTAATCACTATTGTGTTATATATTCTAGTCTTACCATGAATATATTCTTAATTTTTAATTTTTGGGACCATAACTTCATCAAAGAGAAAATATTGTTATTAATATAGATTTAACAAATGATTGTTGCATGAATTGAAACTGAATGCATATTGCTATTTTAAATGTCAATGTTAGAAAATATCCTGGTTTATAGCTTTTGTTAAATCAAATTTACTTTGTTGAACTAAATGCATGCACACATTTGTGTGAAGGTCATCATAAAAATGTTGTTTTAAAGAACATCTTTATAATCAGCATGTGCTGACCTCTCAGAAGATGGAGATTTTGAAAGTGTAAGTGAATCACTGATTGATGTCTTAGCTTTATTGTATTTTATTTATATAACTTTGATCAAGCCACTTAACTTATTGAGTTTTGTATTTCACTTTTTACAAAATGAGATGAATCAATTAGCCTTAACTTAGTCTTGCTATGAGAATCTTATGTGTATGAAATATATGCCAAAATGTAATCAGGTAATAATAACAAGCCTAGAATATACTTTCCAATACATATAATAAACAAAAATGAAGTTTTATTTGGTCAACTTTACAAGTTAAAGCCTAGATTCACATTAGAGAAATCCACAATTCTAATGGTAATCTATTGAAATATATATATTTTAAATAACATCATGCTCTCCTGTTACAATACTCTGCTCCTCATCCTCTGGTTATTCTTTTCACTTTTTATTTTTTGAGATAGGTTGTCATTTTAGTTTAAGCTGGCCTAGAACTCACTGTGTAGTCTGGACTTATCTCTTACTCAAGGATCTCCCTGCTTCCTGAGAGGTAGAATTACAAATGTGAGTCACCAAGCTACGGTAATTAATTGTTCTTTTCCTGATTTACACTATTATTAATTTTAACTGTTAAGATTTAAAATATACATTATCATAGTAACCCTTAATTAAAATTACAAGTAGTCAATTTTGAGGTTTTTGACAAGCAAGGTAAAAGATTTTCACAATCATCATTTTATGAGACAACATACATAGTTACAGTAACACACTGCTAGCATATACAGTGTGTGTACATGTGTGTGTGCATGTGTATGTTTTCAGTAGAGGATAATATTTGCAATGTAATTTGTCTATGCTTTGCAAGAAATTATTTATAATTACTCGCAAGAAACAATAAATTTTTATCAAGAAAAGTAAAAGTTAAAACCTCAGTTCTCATAAAGCATCTTAAATTCAGTTGTTGCACTAAGCTAAAACACAGACTATCTGAAACAATCCTGTATAAAGAAGATATTCTGGGGTATCTCCAACCCTGATCCCAAGCTGTACTAGAGAGTAACAGTAACAAAAATTGCATGTATTGGCAAAGAAACAAAATGGCGGACCAAGGGAACTGAACTGAAGAGGAAAATAAACCTACACAACTATAAACATTTTATTTTTGACAAAGAAGCCAAAAATCATACAATGGAAAAAAGATAGCATCTTCAACAAATGGTGCTGGTCTAACTGGATGTCTACATGTAGAAAAACGAAAATAGATCCATATTTATCACCCTGCAAAAACCTAAAGTCCAAGTGGATCAAAGCCCTCAACATAAAACCAGACACACTAAATCGGTTAGAAAAAAAAGTGGGGAAGAGGCTTGATCTCATTGGCACAGGAGACAACTTCCTGAACAGAATACCAACAGCACAGGCTCTATGATCAACAATCAATAAATGGGACCCCATGAAACTGAAAAGTTTCTATAAGGCAAAGTACACTGTCAACTGTCAATAGAACAAAATGATAGCCTACAGACTAGGAAAATATCTTTACCAACCCTACATCCTGCAGAGGGCTAATACGCAAAATATATACATTTCAGATAATATAATAGATATTGTCTACTATAATTATGATAATAACTACAAAATGAGAATATGTTCCTGACTGAGAATATGCATTTAAAACCAAAGTGTAATAAATTGGGAAAGGGTCAATTTCAATATATAGCCACTAATGGATAATTAGAATAAAACATTCCACATTAGGAAGTCCTGTTACATCAATTCATTACTTCCATATTTTGGTATTTAGCTGAATGATTTGAAAATCTGGCATTATTTTCAGAATTGAGATTTTGTGGGTGTCATCTTAGCGTTTGTTTTCCAATATTTTAATTATAATAATAGCGTATTTTCCCTTAATAAATCCTGCCATATTAAGTTCCCATCTAGAAAATAGAATGTATTTATAATTTTGGTGCATAAATTATTAATGTTCCTCTGATATCCTTCTTCTCAATAAAGTTTTTAAATGCCTATATATATATATATATATATATATATATATATATATATATATATATATATATATAAAGAACTCAAGAAATTAAACACCAAAAAAACCCACACAACCCAATTTAAAAAAATAGGGTACAGAGCTAAAGAGAGAGTTCTTAAGAGAAGAATATCGACTGAGAGAGAAACAAAGAAATGCTCAGTGTTTAGAGTTATCAGGGAAACACAAATCTGAAATTCCATCTTACAACCACCATAATGGCAAGTGATAGCACATGCTGGTGCAGATGTGGAGAAAGGTGAGCGCTCCTCTTAGCAGCTTTATTCATAATAGGCCCAACCTGAAAACAACAAAGCTATCCTTCAACTGAGGAATGGAAAAAAGAAACTGTGGTACATTTGCACAATGAAATACTACTCAGCTATTAAAAACAAAACAAGGGGATCCGAGGTGGTGGCTCCAAGACCTTCTGTGGGACAAGCAGTACAGCAGTGACTGCTTAGCGACCAACAGACTGAACTCTTCGCCCTAAGACACCAGAAATTTGTGTTTCCCAGGTAAGAGGAAACCCCACGGTGTGGGAAGCAATTTGGTCTGTTTTCTGGTCACCGAGCAATACCCCAGGAGAGTTCCTTGGTCCAAGTAGGCACTCAGTCACCAGCCCAGAGCCATATGCCTGTGTGCTCTGATCACCATCCCAGACTGAACTGTGGTCCTCACAACACCAGAGACTGGGTTTTCCAGTCAAGAGAAAACCTCATGGTGAAGGAAGCAATTGGCAGATCATCCAGATAATCCTTGGAAAATGTCCCTGGTTGCAGCAAGTGATCAGTCAGCAGCCCAGAGCCACATGCCTGTGCACCTGACTCACCATTCCAGGCGAACTGTGGGCACCAAAGCACGACAGACTGGGTTTCCACGTTGGGAAGAAACCCCACAATGAAAAAAAACATCAGGTGCGATCTCATGGCACCTGGCCAAACCCCTATCCCCTGAAAAGTTTTTGGGGAAAGTTCCCAGATTCCTGCAAACGCCCATTCTCCAGGGAGCTACTCTCCTGTACCTGTTTGCTCTAATCACCATCCTGGACTAAACTGTGGGCCCCCAAACACCACAGACTAGGTCTCCCTGTCGGGGAAGAAACCCCATGGCATGGGAAACATAAGGCCTCACACCAGGACATCCAGCTAAGCCCTGGAAATTTCCCTGGGTTCCAACAGGCTCCAGGTTCTAGCCTGCTGCTGCATGCATGAGTGTTGAGTTCACCTGCCAATGATTACCACTTGGGTACTGGGGCACAGAACTCCAGCCTCAGATCTACAGAAGCCTGGGATCCATGGGATCAGCCCACAGACATTGCTCCAAGGCACAGCCTGTATCTCTAGCTAAACTGGCCAAACCATGGGGCTCCCTGGTTCTTCAAGAGCGTTATTACCAGCAAACCATTCAAGAGCAGCAGCAGCAGCAGCTCACTAAATTCAGAGCAAGAAACCCAGTGGTAGGGCAGCTGTCTCCAGAATTTCTCCTGGTGAGAGGAGAGTCCCTTGAGTACCAACGACCACAGTTACCTCACAAGTCCATACACCTGAAGTGAGCTGTGGCAATGTCTGAAAAGCACTGGCCATTAGGTGACCATATCAAAAAAGTTAGGGATTAACTCCCTTCACATAGTAATTAAAACAGTAATTATCCAGAATAAAGAAAAAATACTAAAAGCTGCAAGCAAAAAAGACCAAGTAGCATATAATGGCAAACCCATTAGAATCACACCTGACCAAAACTGAAAAGCTTCTGTAAAGCAAAGATACTCTCATCAGAAGAAAATGACAGCCTACAGATTGGAAAAGAATGTTCACCAACCTTATATCTGACAGAGGGTTAATATGCAGAATATATATAGAACTCAAGAAGTTAAAAAGCAACAAATCAAATAATCCAATTAAAAATGGGTTACAGAGCCAAACAGAGAATTCTCAATAGAGGAATATCGAATGGCACAGAAAAACTTCAAGAAATGTTCAACATCCTTAGTCATCAGGGAAATGCAAATGCAAATGACCCTGAGATTTCACCTTACACCCATCAGAATGGCTAAAATGAAAAACTCAAGTGACAATACATGTTGGAGAGGATGTGGAGAAAGGAGAAGCCTCCTCCATTGTTATTGTTAATGTAAAGTTGTACAGCCACTTTGGAAATCAATCTGACACTGTCTAAGGGAATTAGGAATAGTGCTACCTCAAGATCCAGTTATACCATATACTTAGGCATATATACATAGTTAGGTCAAGTATACAACAAAGACATTTGCTCAGCCATGTTTGTATCAGTTTTATTTGTAAATAGCCAGAATCTGGAAACCAACCCAGATGTCCCTTAGCTGAGGAATGGATACAGAAATTGTGGTACATTTACACAGTGGAATACTACTCAACAATTAAAAACAAGGAAATCACGAAATTTGCAAGCAAATGGTGGGATCTAGAAAAGATCATTCTGAGTGAGGTAACCCAGAAGCATAAAGACACACACGGTATATGGATAAGTGGATATTAGACATCTAATATAGGATAAACATACAAAAATCTGTACATCTAAAGAAGCGCCGCAAGAAGGAGGATCCTGGGTAAGATGATCAATCCTCATTCAGAAAGGCAAATTGGATGGACATCGGAAGGAGAGAAAACAGGGAACAGGAGAGGAGCCTACCACAGAGGGCCTCTGAAAGACTCTACCCAGCAGGATATCAAAGCAGATCTTGAGGCTCATAGCCAAACTTAAGGCAGAGTGCAGGTAATTTTATGAAAAAAGGGAGATGAAAACCCTGGAGCAGACAGGAACTCCACATGAAGAGTAATAGAACCAAAAAATCTGGGCACTATGTTCTTTTCTGAGACTGATACTCTAACCAAGAAATATGCATGGAGATAACCTAGAACCCTTGCACAGATGTAGCCCATGGCAGCTCATTGTCCAAGTGGGTTCCCTAGTAGGGGAACAGGGGCTAACCCTGACATGAACTCAGTGGTTGGCTTTTTGATCACCTCACCCTGATAGGGAAATAGCCTTACCAGGTCACAGAAGAAAACAATGCTACCAGTCCTAATGAGACCTGATAGGCTAGTGTCAGCTTGAAGGGGAGGAGGCCTGCCACCATCATTGAACTTGGAAGAGGGCAAGGGAGGATAAGAGGGTGGAAGGGTGAGATTAGGAGCAGAAGATGCTGGGAAGTGAATAAAATGTAATTAATAAAAAAATTAAAAATTTAGGAAAATAGATTTAAAAATGAAAAACAACAAAAAAGGAAAAAAAATCACGAAATTTGTAGGCAAATTGATGGAACTAGAAAAGATCATCCTGAGTGAGGTATCCCAGACCCAGAAAGACACACATGGTACATACTGACTTAAAAATGGATATTAGCAATACAATACAGGATAACCATACTATAATCAACAGACCTAAAGAAACCAAATACAAAGGAGACCCTAGAGAGTATGCTTAATTCTCTTTCAGAAGTGCAAACAGAATAGAGAGGGAACAGGGTAGAAGCATACCGTTGATGTCCTCTGAAAGTCTCCACTCTGCAGGAGATTGAAGCAGATGCTAGACTCATAGCCAAACTTTCGGCAGAGCTCAGGGAGTCATACGGAAGAATGGCGGGAAGGAAGGACCCCAAGGGGACACGAAGTCCCTGGTGGGATCCACAAGGCGAACAATTCTGAGCCCAGGAGAACCTGCAGAGACTGCTGAATTAACCAAGAGCTGTGCAAGGAGAGGATCTGGACCCTCTGCTCAGATGTAGCCAATAAGCGGCTCATCTCCATGTTGGTACTCTAGTAAGGGGAGCAGGGGCTTTCATTGAAATGGCTCTGTTGGCTGTTCTTTGGTCACTTCCCCTTGGTTGGGTGGCCTTGCCAGGCCACAGAGGCATGTAGGCAGTCCTAATGAGATTTGATAGTCCTGGGTCAAATGGTAGATAAGGAAGGCTCCTTTTTCTGATGACTAGGGGAAAAGGATGGGGTTAATAGGGATAAAGAATGAGAGCTGGGGAAGATGAGGGAGGGTGCTATAATTATGATGCAAATTGAATAAATTTTAAAAAAATCAAAATCAGGAATGCTTGGATTCTTTAATTTGATAGTTCAGTGAATAGTAATTTTGTACTGAAGCAAAAAAAAAAAAAAAAACAACCTGTTAATTAGTATATATTACCAGAGAATAGTAACAAGGTATGTTAGAACAATGAATTTTAAGCTCTAAGTTCAAAGGCTCAACTACAAATTAAAATAAAAGTTCAAAGCACACCTTTCTTCTTTATAGCCTGTGGTTGCTGGAGAATACCATACAATGTAGTTCACACATTCAAATGCACTCAGTCTCATTTCCTTTGGTCCATTAAATGCAGAGGATGTTAATTTCACATCCATATTAATACATCTGTCTCTTGGATTGGAGATGGGAATTTCAATACAAGTTGTCTCCTAGGATTGTGAAAGAAAAAAAAAGGATCAACTATTGTGGTCAGGATAATCATTTCTCTAGGGTAGCAAACAAAAAAAAAAAAACTGTTATCCAAGGCCATTTGTACTAGCTTTTCCTTTCCTGGTAGGCTACTAAATATATCTTTATTAAATCTTAATCTCCTCTATATTATCCCCAAATAAACTTGACAAACAATAACATATTATAAAATAGCTTTAATGTCAATAAATATAGAAAGGCCTAACATAATTAAATTAAAATGCTTTTCACCAATAGAATTATTACCATGATGCCCATTTCCTATGGTTTCTTTTGGTAATAACTTAGTGTTGGTCATGATGCTAAATATACTAGTTTTCTAGGCAACCTTATGAAGGTTTATAAGACTGTTATAGAATTTAGTATTTTATTTTTTTGCAAGGGTCAAACAAAAATATATACAGGAAAGAAGTATGACAGGATAAAAAACGTTATCAACCACATACTGGCCTAACAATTTTTGCTAGAAATAAAGAGAAAAAATGGAAGGAAAACACTTGTGCCTGCTCATTTTTCCTCTTCTACTAGTAAAATATGTCTTTCTCTCTCTCTCTCTCTCTCTCTCTCTCTCTCACACACACACACACACACAAAGCATTGTTAGTTTAAGATCATGCTACACAGTCTTTAAGAAGAAAAAACAAGAAAGAAAGAAAACAAACCCCTCCAAATCAAGAAAACAAACAAACATAAACAACAACAACAACCCTTAGGCTCTTACTATCTGTTAGCTTTTTTATACTTTCTTATTACCATCTTTTATTCCATTTTATTTCTTAAAATTAATTCTGGGCCAGCAATATGGCAAAAGTACTTGCTACTAAGCTTGACAACCTGAGTTCAATCGCCAAGACCCATATAGAAAGAGAAAACTGATTCTTACAAGTTTTTAGTTCCACAAGCACACTGTGGCAAATACTCATGCATACACACAGATAGGTAGATAGATAGATAGATAGATAGATAGATAGATAGATAGATAGATAGATAGAGATAAAGAGAGAGGGGGAAGAAGGAGAGAGAGAGAGAGAGCAATTTTAGTCCAGTAGCATGTCTTCTTTGTCAAGGGATCACATCCAAATAGGTGTATGTGACCTATTGCAATGCAGACATGCTCAAGATTACAGTATGATTTGGCTGGAATACAGACACACCCTGAGTACACATCTATAATCCCAAACAATGAAAGTAAAATTAGTTTATAGAAGAAAGCACTCATGTTTAAAATTGATGACTAATTCAGGGTCACCCAAAGTGATGAATCAGACAAAGATCTTACAGTATGAGTCAGAGATAGGATAGGCCCAATTTTCTCTAGTAAAGGACAGGAAAGAGAGGTTACTTAAGAGTCACTGAGGAGTAGTAGCGGTAGGCTAGAGTAGTGTAAGGAGAGTAGAGTATGTACGGCAGTTTTACCGGGGTAGTTTTACAGGGGCAGGTTGCAGAGAGAATGAGCCAGAGAATGCAAAGGAACCAGAAGATTAGAACATACTGCCAGAGTTAGTTTGAGGTCAAGCAGAGCAATTCAGTGAGAAGCCAAGAGAGAAGACAGATTGAATCAACCAGTCAGCTTGGAAAGGGGTTTGAGGCAGAACAGCTGAGCTGAACCATTAAAAGAGCTAGAAAAGATAAGTTTATTCAGCAGTAAATCTTGGAGGCTGGAAATATTTTAGGCCTAGGTTAGCAGACAGAGTCTGGAAGCTGAAGCGTTCAAGGTCTGGGTTATAGAAGATTAGATTGTACAGAGCCTAGAAGCTTCCAGGTCTAGGCTTAGAGACAATTAGAGCAGAGAAAAAAAAAATTATCTGGCCTCAGTCCAAGCCTTGTATTCGTACAGCTTAGGTATAGCCCATTTCATTCCCTCAGCTGAGGAAATAAAAACAACATTTATATACAAACACACAATAAAAAAATAAAATAAAATAATGTATTTGACTTATATACATTTTAAGAACTATATATTAAATATCCAAACTCTGGCCTGAACTGGAACAAAATATTAGAATTTAGAATATAAAATTTCTTTTAGAGAATATCATTCTTTTTTTAATTATTATTATCATTTATTACAATTTATTCAATTTTTATCCTGGCTGTGGCCCCTCCTTTGTCTCCTCCTAATCCCACCCTCCCTCCCTCCCTCTTGTCCCCCTATGCCCCTCCCCTAGTCCACTGATAGTGGAGGACCTCCTCCCCTTCTATCTGAACCTAGCCTTCCAGGTCTCATCAGGACTGGTTGCATTGTCTTCCTCTGTGGCCTGGGAAGGATGCCCCCCCCCCCCCCCCCCCCCCAGGGAGAGATGATCAGAGAGCTTGTCACTGAATTCATGCCAGAGAGCCCCTGCTCCCCTTACTAGGGACTCCACTTGGAGACTGAGTCTATGAGCTACAAGTGAGCCTGGGGTTTAGGTCATCTCTATGCATTGTCCTTGGTTGGGGTATCATTCTCTTCAAAAACCCCAGGGCTCAGTATTCTGGCTCTGTTGGTCTCCTTTTGGAGCTCCTGTCCATGCCAGGTCTTTCTATCTCTCCCTTCTTTAATAAAATTCCTTGCATTCTGCCAAAAGTTTGGCTCTGAGTCTCAGCCTGTGCTTTGATACTTTGATCAGTAGAGTTTTTCAGAGATCCTCTGTGGTAGGTTCCTGTTTTGTTCCCTATCTTTTCCTGCTTCTGATGTCTGTCATGTTTGTCCTTCAGAATGAAGATTGAGCATTTTCCCTAGGGTCTTCCTTGTTGTTTAACTTCTTTAGGAGTATAGATAGATTTTAGTATGTTTATCCTATATTATATGTCTAATAACCACTTACGAGTGAGTATATACCATGTGTGTCTTTCTGTTTCTGGGTTACCTAACTCAAGATGATCTTTTTCAGTTCCTACCATTTGCCTTCAAATTTCAGAGGATATCATTCTCAACAACACTTGAACACAAAATAATTTTGCGTGTGTGTATGTGTGTGTTCTTGAGTCAAGAATTTGCTCTGAAACCCAGACTAGCCTGGTATTCAAAATTCTGTCTCCATTCCTCAAATTTTAGGATTATAATTATTTATATAGCATTGTGCCTCACTTGAAATCACTTTTAAACTTATTGTTTTCTTTTTTGAACTATAATTTGTGCAACAAAAGTAAACATTCATTTTACAATAAAATTATAATATGCTATGCTTCACAAATCTTTAAAGTTATATAGAAAGTTTGGATGGAAGCCATGAGGCACTAATATTATAGTGCCTCCTTTACATCCTTGCTATATCCATGACAAGCTGTCTTTACTCCTAACTATTAGGTCTATAACCATTCTCATTCTTTCAAAGGTGAGAATTTAGACAAAAGCGACTAAATGCTTACTAATACTTCAATCTCTTGGGAATACCTGGAGTATAACTCTATGGACTAATTTTCAAAAGAAAAAAAAAACAAATGTTTTATCATACTTATAAAATTTAATTTTACTGATGTGCTATATATCTAAGATGGTAGAAAGTTGATCAAACTTTATTACATTTGTAATGTAATTTCATTAAAGTTTCAATAGTATTTTCTTCAAATCAAATAAAAATCACATACGTGGCAATTTAAAAGTATGGTTTCATATGGATACTCTGCATTTTAAAAAATATGCCAAAACATTCTCAAAAGCTTAATTTTCTAGCTACAAATATTTTTAAGAACATAATTTAGATATAGTAAGTATGTTTGATGTGTTCAGTATGATAAGAAATTTTGCATTCATCAATCTGGGAGATGATCATCACCTTTGAATCTGTATTTTGATTATTTGAATAATACCCAAATTACATTATCATTTAAAGCTAATAATATTATATATAACTTTGCATGACTCCAGAAGCCTTAATTCCCAATACTCTGGATACCAAGGCCAGAAAATTATGAGGTTTAAAGAAAGAGGGCCTACCCAGCAAGTACTTGTGTCCAAAAATTTTACAATGAAAATTACAACCACAAAATGCTTAATGTTTTGTTCACTGTATCACATCATATTCACCATTCAATTTTATGATACTTTAAACTTTATGACTTGAATTTATGTAAGACATTTCTTAAAAGTTTGGAATATTTGGCTGTTATTTGTTTTGCCAGTGGCACAATGCACCACTTTGATAAGTAAACTTTTCAAATTCATTTATATTTATAATAAAACATAAACCTTCTGATTGAGTTTTTGAATCTCAAGTAAAATAGTAATGAGTGCACATAGACTTCTAAAGATTCATCTTCACACAAGTTCTTTTATGTTCAACAACAGAACATTTGTTTATAAAGTATGCATCATTTTTCTCTTAATAAATATTTTAGTCACTATAATGTATATTTTCAAAATTTCTTGCACTTTCAGGCATGATTTTACATGGAATAAAATATGCATATTCAATCCTGCGAAATGTAAAGATACTAAAATATGGAAAACCATCAACAAAATGATGTGATATTACAGTGAAAGAGAAGTATCCGTATAAGATGGGAATACTATTTTAAAATATATATTAAAATGAATTAAATTTTGTGATATAAATCATTTCAGCTGCAAACTAAATGCATATGTAATGTTTTAGAGAAATATAAGATACTTTCAGTATTGATTTCATTTATAATTTTAGTATATTTCTCACAATATGTTGTGAGAAATATGTTCTCTTTAAACATTACAAGAGGTTTAAAGCATTCTTTTTATACATTACATTGGCTAAGTAGCACATGGCATACAATCCATCATGTCTTTTAAATCTGTCTGAGATCTGGCCATGAGGAAATGCACTAGTCACATGACTCTACTCTTACTTATTTGGGTCAAATCCCAATCCTATATGTCTCTTTTCTTAAATGTCTGGGCTCCCTCATTATACATCCTTTCCTATTAAGCAAAGTTTATTGGCTGGAAATGATTATTTTTCATCTCCCTTGACATGCTAGATACATCATCTTTCCACTAAATATCTGTGTTCCACACTCATGGCATGACCAAATTGCTAGGAATAAACATGCAGCCAGAAGTCATATTTCTCAGGTCCTCTTGCACACTGGTATCTTGTTCTCTCTAATGTTATGTGAGTTATACCATTGTATCATCTAAACATCAAGGCAATTAAAAAAATCGGTAAAAATCTTGTTTTTGTTTTTTCCACCTAACATATAGAATGAAAGAATTATACAATGGGAGGGTCCTGGCTCCTGAATTACAAAATGAAGGATATCTAACCACTGTTCAGGAATGCTTGCACCAGATTGTTAAAAAATTTTAAATCTTATATTAATAACTTTAAAATACAGAAGTTTATTTGTAACACAGCAAGGTAATGCAATATTTTTAAATAAACTTAGAAATTCTTGGGTAAATAATGAAGAAAAACATTTTGTAACATGGAAACAAAATGACATGTTTCTTAGCTTAATAATTGTTCTTATGAAAAAAACCTGTCAATGAAAAAACAAAAACAAAAACAAAGAAAGAAAAACCTTCTGTATTCATTCCTCAGTTGAAGGACATCTGGGTTGTTTCCAGATTCTGGTGATTACAAATAAAGGTGATATGAACATGGTTGAGCAAATGTCCTTGTTGTATACTTGAGCATATTTTGGATATATGCCTAAGAATGGTATAGCTGGATCTTGAGGTAGCACTATTCTTAATTTTCTGAGAAAGCACGAGATTGATTTCCAAAATGGTTGTACAGGTTTACATTCCCACCAGCAATAGAGGAGGGTCCTGATTTCTTCATATGCTTTACAGCATGTGTTGTCACTTGAGCAAATAAAAACAAGGAAATCATGAAATTTGCAGGAAAATGGTGAGATCTAGAAATGATCATCCTGAGTGATGTATCCCAGAAGCAGAAAGACACAAATGGTATATACTCACTTATAAGTGGATATTAAACATACAATATAGGATAATCATACTAAAATTTATACACCTAAGGAAGCTAATCATGAAGGAGGACCCTGGATAAGATGTTCAATCTTCATCTAGAAAGGCAAATGGGATGAACATTGGAATAGGGAGAAGACAGGAAACAGGACAGGAGCCTACCACAGTGAGCTTCGGAAAGACTCTACCCGGCAGGGTATCAAAACATATGCTGAGACTTGTAGCCAAACTTTGTGCAGAGTGCAGGGAATCTTATGAAAGACGGGAGAGCTATTGACTCTAAGTATTTGAAATATTTACATCCTTTATATTATTAGTAGCTGAACATTATGATTCTGAGTAATCAGTTGTATGAAAATAACATTTGATTATGATCAATTTAATTATCTGTATGCTAATATATTGATTATATCTAATTAAAATATTAGCAATTAACATAATCTTATATCACTTAAATCTAGACTACTGATGTTTTAAATTATTAAATCTAGACTCTTGATGTTTGAAATTATTAAGCAGTTTTAGATATATATTCACTAACACATGAATAATTCAGTTAAGGAAAGCTGGCTGTTAACCAGTACCACCTCAAATCTATGCTAGGATTCTATTATATTTCAAAGAGAACACACAGCGGTGTATATCATGAAGAATGCATGCTGACATGCTGGAGTCTAGAAAGAAGAGTTACACCTTTAGAGCATGTGGAGAATGAAGGAGATAGTGTAAAGTTAACTTTACTTAATAATTCTTGAAATAGGAAGGTAGAATGCTAAGTGGGGAAGAAACTATGATACACCATGTAATTGAAAGAGTTCTCCAAAGCATTTAAAGTTCACAGTGGTTCTGAACGGCTAATCTCAATATACTCCTTTGATTTTTCAAGAGTTTGTTTGTTTGTTTTCCAAAACAGGGTTTCTCTGTGTAGGATTGACTGTCCTGGACTCACTTTGTAGACCAGGCTGGCCCTGAACTCACATAAATCCCCCTGCCTCTGCTTCCCTGAGTGCTGGGATTTAGAGGTGTGCACCACCACCGCCCAGCCCAATATACTCCTTGAATTGTATGTTTTAAGGATAGAATCTTAGTGTTTTGCAAATGAATTTATGAACCTTTACTGGGCTATTACCAGAGCAATACGATGAATTTCAATTGTATCTACAGGAGGTCCAGGAGAGCTGTGGATCTCAAGATGATACCAGATTTTTAGAGTTTTAACCTTTTCATCTGAAAATAAAACAAAAGAAAAACTAAATAAACAACAAGCAAGCACTTTTTAATATAGGCCTCAGAATTCTATGCAAATTTGATATTCATAAACATACCATTCTCAAACTTTCTTTCCTTTCTATGTTTTTCCTTTTTTTCTTGCACTCACTATGTAGCCCGCGATGAAATTAAACTCCCCACCATTCTCATGTCTTAGAGTCTCGAATGCTGGAATTGCAGGCATGCACCACAATGGCTGGCATTTAAGTCACTCCAATTAGATTTACCAGGAAATCTGAGAACTTCAGGAGCTGCTTTCATTACAGAGGTAAGCAGTGAGAGCATCCCCATTCTGTATGGGTAGGCAAATACGCAATGCTCCTGCTTTTATGCCTATTTCAGTAATTCATTCTCTTCCTACCACAATAAACTTAAGAAGCTTTTAATTTTAACTCAAGCATTAATGCTCCAATGAAAAAAATATTTTAGCTTCTAAAACATTCATAGATTTATACAAAGAAATATCTAAACAGTACATATCTAAATTGCAATGAAAAACTTTTCATTCCTATTTATACAAAAATTTAGTTTAAGGACAGGGTCAGGAGTATGAAGTCCAGTTTCTATGGGAGTATTTAAAAATCTTAGAAATTTAACTCAAAGAAAGCTAGAAAGAGGTTTTGGCAAAGTAATAAGATGATGTTTATATCAGGATTCCCAGTTTTTCATTAGAGCAGAAAATTCTGCCACTGTTGATGCCCACACCCTGGCACCAAAAACTGAAATCTCGATCTGCCAAAGAGTCCCTTCACAGGAGGGTGCTGTACTTGCACCAAATTCACTTTCTTTCTGTCCAGGTGTTTCCATCTGCATAGCCTCTCATTTCTGGATTTGGTTTTTCAATCTTGAGCTACCTCAAGTTGCTCATGTCAGTGAACTGTATGCAGTCACATTAATATCGTTGCTTAAAATTTTTCAAGAAATGTCATTCTAGATTAAATTACATAGATAACTTACAAATTTACTTTGGAATAAGCTTACCTGTGAATTAAGGGCTCACAATGATGGCATTATCAGTATATCTCTTCTGAAAAATCTTTTCCATGTGTATACTGTTTTGCATGGGATTGCAATGTATTGCATTAAAAGGCACAATATGTGACCTCAAGTGATACTAAATGACATACTACTGTATTACACAGTATTATATTTTTATTGAACTTCCTCATTCTGTACTATCTTGTACTGTAGTATATTGTCTTGTATTCTAGTCTGTCCTAGTGCCTAGCTACCATAAAGCATAAAAATGAATGGATCTGAGACACATACTATAAGTTACTGAGTGGAGTAAATAGAGGAAGTCCAGAAAAGTTAGTTCCTGGCTGGCCTGGAACTTTCTATGTAGACCGTTTTGGCCTCAAACTAACAGACATCTGCCTGCCTCTGCTTCCCAAGTGCTGGGGTTAAGTGCATATGCGACCACACTTAGCCACACACACACACACACACACACACACACACACACACACACACACAC